CAAACGGAACTAAAATGCGCGAAGTTTTTATAGCACAAGAAAACTGACGAATATTCATTCTTCAACTTTTTTCGTAGTACCACTGACATCGAAATTCTTCCGATGTTATTATGATTCTTGTAGCTAAAGATTTCACTTCAGAGATCCTCAGAACTTCAGGAACTGAATAAATCACAAGTAGTATGTCGATCAATGATTAATGTTATATGCAATGTCTCTGTATGTTTTATATCATCTGATTATTTTTTCATCTTATTTAGTTTCTATATCTAGTATAGCAAATATATGCATTATAATCAATATTTTCAAAAAGGTGTACTGACACTCTGTACACGAATAATAGTATATTAATTTTGTTCAAATTCTTCATATGGAATAGAATTTTTTCTGAAGAACTTTCTATAATTTCTTGTACTTATGATGTAATTGGAAATGTTTTATGTTTCTGGAAACTTTTCATTCCAAATATCATCTGCTTCATGTCAGTTTTTACTTTCAGGTGAAATGGTCATTTCCAGCTCGAAATACGACGTACAAGTGTCGAGCAAATCCGCCTTCCACGTGAAAATGACGGTCATTGTTCGACATTTACAAAGAGAAGACGCTGGATCGTATCGTTGCATAGCTAAAAACTCTTTGGGAGAGGTCGAGAGTAATATCCGTCTTTACGGTAAGTTTCAAGACGTTTCCACCTTATTTCAAGTCATTATACTACCTTGGAAGTTCCTTTCAGGATGATGATCTGTAAACGGGCGAGCGACTTTTTATATCCCGATAAAAGAAAAGATTATAGCCCACGTTGTTCTCTTTATTTCCAGGAATGGGTTGGTTCATCACGTATAGAGATAATGAAGGATTCATAAAACCATAGCTGTGGCTCTTGTGGTTATTGATTCACTACTCAATGTTAAATGTTGATCTAGTCACAGATGGAATTTTAAAAGCCAATAGAGATGTTCTCAGTATTCTATTGAAATTTCACTTTTCAAATCACCTTATTGCGTTTTTAGATCGAAATGTAATAGATGGATGATAGAGATATTTATTTCCAGTGCCTCCAATCAAATACAGATTTCAAACCCGAGAGTGGAGAAATAAAAAAGATGTAAAGTAAAAATACCTGCGAAACCTAATTTCTCATGTTGATTCGAATATATCTCGCCAGTGATTATTTCTGACTCACTTCTGGTCTTTTTATCTTTGATAATATTTTCGATGGTCTGTTCTGCATCATCTATTCATTTATGATCTCTATCACTTCTTTTTTGATGATTAACTTGATATACTCTTTCATATTTCTGTGCAAGTTTATAGCATCTCCGTTCTGCCAGTGACATTTCCCGAATAACTTGGTTAGTTCGTTTCTGTCACAAATATGTGACCAGTATTTTTAACACGCTTTCATATTAGATTCACTTCTATGTTTGTTTGTAACTCTATTTTGACTAACTCCACTTGCTCTCACACAGTTTATGTGTGACCAACCACACTGTCTGCGCATGCGTATATATTTCATATTAAAATAAATGGACTTGAAATAGCAAGCCAAACAAAAGTAAATAATGAATAATTAAAAAAACACGTCTCNTTTGAGTTACTGTTTCTATCTCTGAATATGATGTTATTATTTATATGAACATACATTTCCTTCACATTGTTGATGTTCATGTTGATATCCACATTCTCAGTTATGTTCTCAAACTTTCTCCTTCATATAATGCATTCCATTTAAAACGAGCCACCCTGAATAACTTTTGGTACAATGATTTTCAGAAGAAATTAAAAAACAAGTCAACAATAGTATACAAAAGGACGACACATTTTGACATATTCACATTTGATGCCACTTCCCCTATCGCACCCCCAGAGCATGTCACCATTTTTTTTAATGGATCACCCTATATTGTTTCGCATTATCAGATGCTCTATGATGAGCAGATTTCAACAAAGTGTGAAACATATGGTCTGAAGCTCATGGTTCGAGAGCTACAAATTATTTGAGTTGAAAATGAGCCACCCTGAATAACTTTTGAAACAATGATTTGCAGGAAAAGGAAAAAACAGGTCAACAATTATATAGGTGGCCATATTTTGAAATATTCGTCATAGAGACAAATATGGAAGCAATGAATCAGGTAAATATATTTAGATGAAGAGGTTGGGTATGAACTGTTGGAAATATCGGTCAGGTTTTCGGTTACTGGTTCTGGGTGTGTGGAAATGTTCGAAAAAGTTCAATTTAACTTCAATATATGAAAAGTACAAGAATAGAACGAAATTATTTCAACTGCAAAAAGAAACAATCCCTCTGACATCTCTCTCAAAATTTGACATTGCTCTCCAAAACCTCTTTATGGTGAACCAAAATAATAAATAGATTACAACAGAACTTGACAGTATAAATGAGGATTCGTATCACTCCAATATCGACAATTTTGCCTATTCATCTCTTCATTCAAAGTAAACGCACATCCATCCGAAAAACAAATTTTATTCAAGAAATTCTGATACAAGTTCGTTCAATTCATGAACTGTTCTAATCTTATATGGTTGCAATTTGTACTTACCAAGGATCCTGAAAATATGTGAACGACTGATTTCTGATTCTCGAGATAACTTAGTAAGAGATTGCGAATTTTCTATTGGTCCAACGTGCCCTAAAACTGCAGCACATATAGCTTCATTTTCGTTCTACAATTCCGAAACGGATTTGTGTCGTACATTTCTTCCTGAATGGTTATTATCACTGAACATACGGGCAGCAGTATAGCACTATTTCCATTCTGGTAGTACAAACTCACTATTTCAATCCATTTTCGAAGCGTATAAACCATTGCTCCCCAAGAATTTACAAACTTATAACTCCACCTGGTAGGTAACCGTTAATGTAGAATGAGACACATACAAAATGAAAAGAATATCGAATTCCAATCCAACTAGGCAAAATGAGACTTTTTTTTAAGTATACTTCACAAAAACACCTATGAAACCTAGGTAACAGATTATACACGGTGGTTCGTTTTCAAATCAACTAATTTTTGGCTTCCAAACTATGAGCTTCAGACCATGATGTATTCTACTTTGTTGAAATCTGTTCATCATAGAACATCAAAACAATTAATCCATTTGAAAAAATGATGACATGCTCTGGGGGTGCAATAGGGAAAGTTACATTAAATGTGAATATGTCAAAATATGTCCCCTGTATACTATTATTGAGTTGTTTTTTATTTTTCCTGAAAATCTTTGTTCCATAAGTTATTCAGGGTAGCTCGTTTTCAACTCAAATAATTTGTAGCTTTCGAACTATAAGCTTCAGACCATATGTTTTATACTTTGTTGAAATCTGCTCATCGTGGAGCATCTGATAATGCGGAACAATATAGAGTGATCCAATCAAAAAAAATTGGTGGCATACTCTGAGGATGCGATAGGGGAAGTAATATCAAATATGAATATGTCAAAATGTGTTTCCCTGTATCCTATGGTTATTTCAAAAACTACACCTCACGATTTGATCTCCACAAACTTCATTTGAAAAATATATCACAACATGTTTCGCTAGCACAGCAGCTTTTTTAAGTGATTTGAATACTTCAAGTTGTTCTTACATTAAGGGCAAGCGCATACTACAGACTTTCTATCGGCCGATAGCTTAGTTGGATGCTTATTAGTATAGAATCGTAATGTGAGTCCCCACATTTAAGCGATTCCAGTCGGCCGACTGAATAATCAGAAACAAGTTGGATAGGCTTTCCAATTCTGATTCAATTACAAAGTTGGACAACTATCGGCCGAACGCTTGTCCTAATATAATATAATAAAATATAAAATTAATACAAGAACAACTTGAAGTATTCAAATCACTTGAAAAAGCTACTGTGCTAGCGAAACATGTTACGATATATTTTTCAAATAAAGTTTGTGTATCTTCATCAAGTAACGATCGAATCAATCAGAAAAAAAATACTATGGTTGACGTGTTTTTTTACTTTTCCTGCAATTCATTGTACCAAAAGTTATTCAGGGTGGTTCGTTTTTAATGAAATGCAATGTATATATTTTTCCACTTCAATGAAGTTTTTCTCAAACATTTTTGATTCGTGGATGAAGAAGAGAAATAATATGGTAAAACCAACCAACTTCGACGAAAACTTCTTATCTAACGCTCATCACAGTAAGTATGAGAGTAATTCCCTTTGTATCACTTGTTTTGACTACGCCAGTTTATCTTTCAGTATAAGTAGGTACACACCACAAATCTCACGCTCTTCTCTGATCTGAACATTATGATTAACCACCCGCCAAGAGTAAATTTCACAGTGTCGAGTTATAAAAAGAGGTTCTTCAGTGTCTCCCTCACATTTGTTAAAAGATATGCATCAAGATCAGTGTTATGACGACGACAAACAACTGAGTACTTAATATATTTGCAGAAATACCGGGCCCCACTCGTGTCTACAGCTTATCTCTTGACGAAGAAGACTATAACGAACAATTGGGATCGGCTGAAAGAGAACAAGATGAAGAAATATCCAACAGCGTAGTAGAGAGGACGAAGGCAGCTTCGCAACATTCCACGGTGGAGACTCCTTCCAGGTGAGGAAGCTGTACATTTTTGCTCAATCAGAATTAGTTTTAAAAATGTTAAAATCGTTGGAAATCGTTCAATCAAAGGTGTGTGAGTATATTTGTTGCGAGGACGACTACTGCTCTTCGTCCATTGCGCCTGCTGCCTTCCAAAATGACTACCGCAGCTGTAGACGAAACGGCAACCATAACACCTCAGAAAATAGATTTGACACATAATAGAAATATAGTTTTCGATCAGAAGATGATATTTCATCCCAGTTTAGACATTGGAATGTACAGCTCAATAGTGTTCAACCTATAGATTCAATAGGTATTTATATTTTGGGACTGATAAAAAAAAGTTAATTTTCATATGGAATTGTTTCTATTGTTTTTTACAAAAAAGGTACTATGCTACACAGTGGTAAAAGATGGGGCTCTATCGCCAAGAGCGAAATGAGTTCATTAATGCACTATTGCAATTAGTTCGATTCCATTTTCTTCCTGAGAACTATGAAAAACACGAATCATTTTCAAATCACAAACGATCTGCAGAAGATCATGGTTGAAAATGTCCAACTCTCAAATGAAAATATCAGATGACACCTAGCAACACCCAGTGTTGCCAAGGCTCAAAATATAAACAGGGTGGCTGACAGGGTTCTCCGTGGAGAACCCTGCTCATTACGTTTTATCCCATATTTTCCATTAGAACCATCTTGTTTTCGGTACTAGCTGAGCTGAGCTGGTCTCTTGCTAGACGACATAAGTCATATTCTTCTGGATATGTTTTGAGTTATATGCAAAGCCTCACATTCACATAAAATATGAAGAGCTATCTTTTCCCTTTGTTGCATTACTGGCAGCTATGATTTCTGTTGTAATGATAACACAGATAATAATAGTTAAAATAATAATAACATTGAAGACATTGGCTGATCAAAGCGCCTGACTTTCGCTGTCCTCAGGTCGAGTGAGCTGAAGTCGGAAACTGAGGGGTTCATCATGGATTGCCAGGATGGTGTCTTCAACACCTTAGTCTACCGCAGTCGTTTGATGGGTATAGAGGTTCCTGACACAAGGTGCAGGGCCTGCTGCGGGGCGCCCGAGACCCTAATGCTCTCGCTATCAGCATGTCCAGCATATGCGGTCTCGGCCTATATCCAACGACATAACGCGGCCCTAAGAGTGCTATATTACCATCTACGTCACTCTTACGGTATTGACGAGACACCAGTGTTACCCTACGCTCCGGGAGATATTGGATCCGTTGTGGGGAACGAGAAGTGCCGAATTTATTGAAACTATTCGTTCCCCACCCTTAGGCTCATACAAGGTAATACACCTGATGTAGTCCTTCTCGACCACCAGAGCAAGATGATATTTTTCATGGAATTTTCAGCTCCTGACGAGACAAATATCGTCAAAAAAGAAAAGGAGAAACGGATGAAATATCGAGATTTTCTCTTCGAACTCCGCAGACTCTATCCAGATCACTCTGTCAAGATGGTTGTTGGAGTCCTTGGTGAAATGATGTCCTCTCTACTCTCGAATCCTAAAATCATACCGGCTTGCCGCACTGAGGCAGAAATCTTAGACGCACATATGCAGAAGGCAATCATTCTTGGCTCACTGCGCTTGCTCAGGGCATATGATTCTCGGACCTAATGATCTTTTACCACGGTGTGGGGAGTGGCCATTGGTTGATAATGCTGACGCGCCCTCTCGGATGTATCTGGGCTTCGGCGGATAGGGCCTGACCAGCGCACACTACGGTGAAAATAATAATAATGAGCTTATTTCAAGAGCTTCAACGTGTTGTGATCAGGATTCCACCTGATCAGCGGTCAGCGCTGGAGGCGAGAGTAGCTGATTCCAGATTGGTTTGTTGAAGGGCGGGCCGTAATTATTCTCAGTAGCGGAGATTTGTCGATTTCTAAGAATTACCGACCGATAACATAACATAACATGCTTGAATTCGTGTTATGAGTTGTTGACGATCATAATACACATGAATACTCACCGTAGTGGTCCGAGTGTTGGAACGGATATATCAGCAGAGAGGGTCGAAGTGTAACTCATTTGTTTCATAAGGATGATTTTAAAGTTCATGCCTCTGCAGGAAAGGATCTTCATCTGTCCTTGAGGGTATGAAATTGGTGACAGGCAAATGTGCGACGGTCCATTTCAAATGAGGACTACGCGGGAGTATGAAGAGGATCACATACCTACCTTGAGTTGGAAAAACGCCACTCGCAAGAGGTTACAGTAGTATAGAACTATCTCCGCGGCTAATATCAGCACAAACTCTGAAGGATCTGGTCATCCGAACTGATGGGGAAAAACAAAGTTGCTACTATGAATATGCTTGCTGTTCNTTATTTTTATCAAATTCACGCCATATAGGTATCTTGTTTGAATTGAAAAGGTATATTTTAAGGAGACATTACACAGAGATGTGTAGATCACGCAACGAAGTTACCTTCAGACACAAACTGGAAGAAAAAGCCTTTTTGAAGCAGCAATTTTCATATAAACGTTGTTGTACACGAAAAAAAAAATACTTTCGAAACAAATACTTTTTTATGATAGACAAAATATATGCGAGGAAAGTTCGTGGACGAGGCGAGAAGGGATGGTTTAATTTTTATTATTGTAGAGAGTGTCCCCACTACTCAATTCATAATAAAAATAGTGATTGATTGGTATTGTGAAGCATTATGAATGTTCTGTGTCCAATCCATTTAAGAATAAATGTTACAGAAACGGTACAAGTCTACGATCACTAGACATAATTGACAATGATAACAAATAACCTAATCCACAAAATATAATTGTAGCTTTTCTGTCGACAGTGGGATCTAATCGGTTTCATTTTATCTGAAGTGGGGAACAACTGATTTGCAAGTTCAGAAACGAATACAATTTTACTGTTACTAGAAATTGACAATGATAACAAATTATCCAATCCAAATATATTGATTTCATTATCCTTATCCTTATTATTATGTATCATTATGTTCATTCACCCTTTTCATACATGAAGTATATATGGTTAATATATTTTAGCCGCTTCCATCTAATCATTTGCTTATCTGTCTTCTACAGAAGTGGATCAATTACTTGTTTTCTAAAATACAGTATTTTTTTTCAGAGCCAACTACGCTGAAAATCAAAATACACTGGTGGAAGAAGAATCAAATTCTTCTTATCCGCACACGACAAGACTGTCTGTCGTATTGACGGCTATCGTATTTTTATTAATGTTCATAACTCCGATATGACGATTGAACAATGGAGTGATGGCAGTTCTTTAGTGACAATAAATAGCGCTGTTCCTCTTACAGAGTGTAATAGCTTAACATGTTTCACAACTGAAAAAAATGTACAAATATCCTCAATAAAATATAATTTACTTTTTCTGTTGGTGTTCAGGTTCATTGTCACACAGAAGAAGGCAAAACTGAGAAATGTGTTATAATTATGAAACATAGTTTCTTAAAGAAATATGACATGAATCTTGCATCTGTAGCTCAGTGTATTACTGGTTGAAATTGATCAGTCTCTATATAATTTTTTTAATAACACGTTCATACTTTCCGTCGTGAATCATGTTAACTTCAATTAATTCATTTACTTTCACTGTGTGGACAACAACCAATGTGACCTTGAAAAATAAATTATTGGGTTGAATTGTATTGTGACAAATATAATTATTATTGATAAAATCAGGCTAAGTCGATTGAAAAACAACAGAATAAGTGGTAAATTCAACGAATCAACAACTTCATTCAAAGTTCCGAAAACACCACTTGGAAGATCATGTTCAGATTATTCTACTCATTTACAACACTTGTTAACGCTGTCTTGACGATAACTAAACTGAATGAATGTTCTCTACTCAGAAGGAGTAAATTTCATACATGTTAAAGCAAAACGTTGACTGCTTGGAAGGTAAATTCATCGTCACTGAATAGTCACTCACTCTCTTCTTGATGTTTCATCTGCCGTAAATCTTCCAAAATGATCAATTGCCAAATTATACGCTCCAATATTTTGGTATGCGTGCGCATTCCGGTGATCCATAGGCGACTCATAACAACTTTTCTCTCTTTAAGTTACCGGATAACCTGAAACCTGCTGCAGTCTCATAGATCCCGCTTCCATATGCCAGGTTGACCCAATCTTTCCAAGTTTGAGTTACTTTTTCTATCTCTGAATATGATATAGAATCAATCTCAGGTCAGCTAGTTAAATCTGGGGATAAATGTTCTATACCTCTAAGTCTCTCGACCGCTGTCCCTCAAGGTTCCATTTTGGGACCTTTATTATTCATGATGTATACTGCAAATCTGTCAGCGTGTCTATCTCATTGTCAATCTCATTACTATGCAGATGACACGCAAATTTATTACACATTTCATCCAGAAAACGTAAATGAGGCATGCTCTATTCTTAATGAAGACCTTAATAGGTTGAATAACATATCAAAGGATCACTGTCTGCCAATCAATCCTGTCAAGTCCAAGTTATTAATTTTTGGTAACAGGAACAACAAGAATAAACTTGATCAAATTAACATCAAAATTGGTACAGAAGACATTGAAGCCGTGAGCTCAACAAGAAACTTAGGTGTAGTTCTGGACACAGAGTTGAGGTTCAGTGCACATGTAACGAAATGCATCAAAAATGCATATTGTAACCTCAAACTAGTATCAAATTTTTCAAAAATTTTAGATGTTAAAACAAAAAAAAGATACTGTGTGAAACCTTAGTGTTGAGCCACTTTAACTTTGCAAATATGGTGTATTACTCTAGTTTAACCAATCACGATCAAAATCGTATTCAGATTGTTCAAAATGCATGTGCCCGGTTCATTTATGGAATAAGAAAACGTAATTCAATTTCTCATAAAATTAAAGAATCGAATTGGTTAACTATGAAACAAAGATGGTTTCTACAGACAAGTTGTTTTATACATAATGTAATTCAAACGAAAGTACCTATTTACTTATACAACAAACTTTTATTCAGACACGACGTTCACGCATTTCATACCAGATATCGATACCGCCTTACCCCTCCAATACACCATACTTCACTATACCAAAGATCGTTTCTTTATAATGTATCAAAGATCTATAATGCCATTCCTGACTCGTTAAAAACCATGAATAAATCTGTTTTCAAGTACTCACTGAGAAACATGTTATTTGAGGATAGACTTCAAATATAAGTGTTGAGCCACGAAAGCAAGAGTTAAAAGTCTGATCAATAATAATTGATGTGCTTTCTGCCTTCATGCCTCTCCTTTTGTTTTCTAGTTTTGTTTTTATCACTTCCTTTGGAACCTTCATGATCTAATTACTGTTAGCACCCTAGCTTTAATCTGATTCTCATTCACGCAGTTAAAAACATTTATATTACTATTATTTTTGATTTGTAAATAATATATATTTTTTCGTGACTTCGAGTTACACTTGTGAAGCCTGTGAACCTCTAGATTTAGATTTATTTTCTCTTCTCTTATTTTTTCTCTCTTTTCTCGTTCTCTTTAGTTTTGTTTTAAGGGTTGAATGGAAGAGCAGTCACCAGTATCCTTGGATAGGGGCGACTGAATTCCGCCCTTACACACTATTATGGGATATAGTATTGTATTATCGTATTATAATTAAGTGTGAATCATTATTTAGACAGATAGTTACACGGTCGGTAGCCAAGCGGTTCGGCGTGGGTGGTCGGTGGTTCAAGCCCTAGTCTGAACGATCGATCTTCACTTGCTATCGTCCAACCCGTGTTAGGAATCACACGTTAAAAGGTAAGACCTCGTTAATCCTTAGTTCGCACAAGTTTCGACTTCTGAGGGTTGTCGTTCCTAGGGTTGCGACAGCTGGTTAACGGAAAACCAGATTTTAAACAGATTTTTTAAACACTATCATTTACTTGTTGCAATTGTCAAACGCTCTGGATAGACACTGTAAGAGAACGGCTTTCGCACCCATATCTTGACATGGAATACTGAAACAGAAATGTTTTTTTTTGCAAAGAATAGAAATATTTGTTTTTTTATTGCTCGAAGTTATGAGCAGAATAATTTCCGAAAGGTTTTCAACTCTAGGTATATATTCAACCGAGAAATTGGACATCTGTTGTTGCAGGTCGACGATAAAATGCCTTCACATACTGAACAAATATTATTCAGAATTATAATGGAATTGATCAGTGATAGCTGAATAAGAACAAAACTTGACCTATCCGAGTTTTCTTATAGTTTTCCTAACGAAGCCAATACCATGTTCAATTATATTGCGATGGATAGGTAAATTAACTGCTTCAAAATTGCTTTCATCAAGGAAGAATCATAGGTAGAATATTGTAGGTTGAAATGAATCAGTCAGAACTTGAAGTATAGTGTAACTAAGCTTGTCAGCATGTCTGCTTGTCAGCAATAGTGGAACTGTAAATAACTCTGTCAGCATGTTAACAGTTCCACTATTTCAATTTGAATTGATAGTTTGACGCTTGATATAAGTGCTGCTCGCTCTGGGCGTATAGAGTGTAGAGGGGAGAAATAGGAGAAGGTCGCGTTTCATTGGCTTTCACTATATTATTTTTATCAGTATACGATAGAATACTTTCAGGTCAAAAAGTGAAAACTGCTGGAAAGTCCAATTATCTGAACTCAAAAATTAAGAAGTCAGTCATAAGTTTTCTTTCCTTGCAGTGAGGCCAAATTTCATTACTTGCATTACATCAGTCAGAATTTTCAACAGTTTTTGAATATCTGAAGATTTTTTGAGAAATGGATGAGTGTTCTCAAGTATTGAGACCGAAGTTCCTTAGTGAATTCTTCATATTGTGACTGAGTTATTTCTGTTGAAGTAGAGGATATATCTCAAGTAAACTCTTGAATGAATGTGTTCATTTTAGACAATTCAACGCACACCTTCCATTATGTCAAAATTAACCTCTCAACTACCTACAAACATATTCAGTGTGAACAAAAATCAATTATCAAAACGGTGGTTTTTCAACCTTTTCTCTCATCGAATTATTTGTTCAGTTCCTTTGTTTCTTCCTTGGTTTGAATAGCGGTTTGCACTCACATCTGCTACTTGGTATTCTGAAGCTATTTTTGAATTGAGATAGCCCACAATTTGAGACCAGTTTCCTTACAAAGAGATATCTTATATGAATATGTTTGGTACGTCTGTGATATTCCGGATTTTGAGCCAAACGTATTGCAGCTTCGTTATTGACCATCGATACTGGATCACATTCCATATTCAAAAATTCTTCATATAGCTGTTTCAATCAAGCTAGTTCACGGGAAGCTTCACTTGCAGCTACTATCTCAGCTTCCGTTAAGGAAATAGCACTGAGGTTTGTCGTTGACTGAGCCAAGATATCGCACCACCAGCATACATACACTTGTTGAATGTTCTGTTGTTTCATCTCCGCCATGGTCACTAAAACTTCTCAGGCCATCCACACTGGTTGTTTTGTACGTTATACCATAATCAGTTGTTCCTTTTAGGTATCGAAGTATTCGTTTCACTTGAATACAATTATGATTGCTGGGATTTTTCAACGACCTGGAAACAACACTGATCGCATAGGCAATGTCTGGTCTTGTACTTGTCATTAGATACATAGGAGTTCCAACCGCCTCTCTGTATAGAAAAGTTGTATTCAAATCTGTTTCTGATTCATTGTCTAATTGAATACAATTTTCTACAATCGGTGTTGAGACGAGTGTTCAATCTTGCATGCCAACGCGTTCTAATAATTTTCTTGTATAAGCTGCTTGATTTAGTTGAATGAAATCATCATTTCCAGTTTTGATTTTTTTTCCTAGGAAATAGGAAGCAGGTTTCACCGTCATTTTGAAATAATTCTGGAATCTTTGCCAGAAAGTATTCCTCAATGTATCATTAATTGTTGCAAACAATCCATCATCAAAGTATATGACCACGATTATCATATCATTTCCATGTTTCTTCATGTATAAACAGGGATCTGCATTACTTTGCTGGAAATCAAGTTTCTTCACGACATCATGAAATTGCTTATTCCAACATCTTGGTGCTTGCTTGACTTCGTATAAACTTTCCTAAAGCCGACATACTCGATTAGTACCATCCTCATATCCTTCAGGTTGCTTCATATAAACTTCTTCGTCAAGCTCGCCATAGAGAAATGCAGAAGTAATATCAAACTGGGTGAGAGTCATTTTTCTACTAGCAGCAATACTCAGAACAGCTCTTATCGTACTACCTTTTGCTACAGGGCTGAAGGTTTCATCGTAGTNGGTTGGAGAATACTTCTCCAACCCAAGTTCATTCAGCTATTCCTGATTTAATACAATATTTTTCTGAATAATATTCGTTCAGTACGTCTTCGTCTACTCTGCAAAAACAGATTTCTACTTCATTGGTAAATTATCTATCAAGGTTTTGATACGATAGTGGAATTATTCGATAGTGAAAAAGAATCGTGACTAACAAAGTAGGAAATATTTCTATTCATTGCAGGAAGAAATTTTGTCTAAATAATTTTCGTCTGAATCCCATCTGGTTTCAATGGAAGTTCATGAAATCACTCAAGATATTTCAAGACATAATACTCTTGAATCGATGTTTACCAATTCTAAGGGTTGAATATACAGAGCGCAGA